GAAAGACTGAGGAGGAAGAAGGCTTTGTGAATACAGTGAAATTCTGCTCACACATTGATCCTGCTCTGGAGAGGCTCTGCTGATGCTTTTGTCGCTCAGGTTAATCTTGGAATACTCTGGGGTCTAGATGGACCGCACCTGGAAAAACACTGCTTTAAGGGAAGTGAAAGTGATTATCTGGCCTGTTCCAGCAGTGGTATTGAATGTGATTATCTGGCCTGTTATAGAAGGGATACTATATCTGATTATTTGGTTTAAGAGTTAGAGTCTTTAATTATCTAAGGATGGAAAATATTCCTTTTGAAAACCAAATTGCATTTTTATGAAGCTAATTACCTAATTTGAAGCTTAAAAAGTGGAAATTTCTCCAAATTGAAACTAGAGCTAGGATTAGAGATGAAATAAAATCTTTCAGTATAGGAAATAAGTGCACGTGCACACACGTGCACACACACACACACACACACACACACACACACACACACACACACACCCCAACCACACATTTTTATTCTTTATCCCTGGGTTGACTAGACTGCTTCAAAGCCTTAGCACTCATTTCCAAAATATGCCCTATATCTGTAAATTTTCATAGGAAAATTATTGCTAATTATTTTAGTTTTTCTTTTACAGAGGAAACTTTTTTCATTTTTTAAAAAATTATTCCTAGTACTGGCCATAATGACTTCAATTAAGTTTTTGGATATTAAAATTTTATTTTGTATTTCTGACCTTTATATTATTTTATATAATGCAGATTGTAGTATATTACTTCATTATAGTGTAGGTTTCAAAAATTTTTTCCAAAACCACATGTGGAATTTTGGAATCAAGTTAGATGCCCTAAATCTGCCCACTATTCTCAGTATGGGGTTAAATTTACATTCAATTTTGAATTGACGTCAGCTGCTCATTTTGGCTGGATTTATGCTTTTCTTTAAATTGATGACCACAGAAGTATAAAAGAGACAAAATACTTAGGTGCATGGGGCTGGAGAGATGGTTCAGCAATTAAGAACACTAACTGTTCTTGCAGAAGATCTGGGTTCGAATCCCAGCACCCACGTGGCAGCTAACAACTGTCCATAACTCCACTTCCAGGGGATCTGACAACCTCTTCTGTCTTCTGCAGGCATTGCACGACATGGGTGCACTTATCTACATGCAGGCAATACATGCATACACATAAAATAAAAATTAAAAAAATTTAGGTGCCAATTTTACTGTGTGGCAGAAAGTGTGACGTGTAGTGAACTGTAGGCTTAAGGAAGGACAGTGCTGCTTATACTGTCTTCCTCTCTACTCTAGAACCAATACCAGTGGTGTACTGGAGACACCCAAGAGTTCCTTTAAGACAAGGGTGTAGTGAAGGTAGACTTTGCTAACATTTGTGCTTAGTAACCAATCTTCCTGCTTATTAACTTTAAATAAAAACTGTAGACTTGAACAATTCACTCTTTCATGGAACTCATTTCCTTTGTGTAAAAAAAAAATGATTCTAAAGTTTTGTACAAAGCTGACACTCCTATAAGTAGCTCAGTACTTTTCATCACCCTTCATTTCCTGGAGTAGCTGATAGCTGGAATTCCCTGGTGCTGGCAGAAGTGAGAATTGACAAAACACTAGAATATGTCTACATTACTAATGTAAAGGATTACTCTAAGGAGCACAATTCTAAGACTTACTCTCACCAAGCCCCCAGACAACCTTTTAGACATGGCTTTACATTAATACAGGCGTGAGTACTTGGTGGAAATCAGTTCTTTTCCTAACATGTTGCTGACATGCACTGTGCTTCCTTGTAAAGGGAATTTCTAGCCTTTAGCATTAGTGATAAAAGCCTTGCTTTTTTTTTTTTTTCTGTTACATCCTTTTAACATTGAAACAGCTCAACCTCAAAACATATAAACGGGTTTGCTTGTAACTTTCTAAAGAAAGAGTCCAAGAGTGATTTTCATTATTAACTCAGGTAAGCACATCTCAGTTAACAGAAGCAAATGTTCTTCAAGCTTCTCCCTTCACACCACTGCCATCAGCCTTGTGCTCGTGTGAAAAATATCAATCCTGCTCAATGTTTCAACGTGATGATCTGATGACCTTAAAATTATTATTTTTCTTGGAGATGAGGTTGAGAAAGTATGTAGTTAAGAAGAGAGACTAATGGGGCTGGAGAGATGGCTCAGTGGTTCAGAGCACTGGGCGCTCTTGCAGAGAACCCAGTTTCAGTTGCCAGTACCCACATGGCAGCTAACAGCTATCCATAACTCCAATTCCAGGGGATCAGATGCCCTCTTCTGGCCTCTGCAGGGATTGCACACTTATGATGCACATACACACAGGTAAAACTTTCATACACAAAAATGAAAATAATAAAATATTTTTAGAAAGAGAGGCTAAATTTCTGTTTTTGTCTCTTCAAACACTAGCAATATGAACTGGAACCTGTCACCTATGCACAAAGGTGGCTTAGTTATAGAGAACAAAGGGAGAAACCACTTCAGACTCCTTATGTCAATGTTGGAGAACTGCTGAGATCACTTACATAAATATTTTCTTTGAGCTCTCTAGAAGACAGGAACCTTATAAATATTTAGTATTATTGTTACACCATAGGTACAAGGAGACAGGAAAATTATGAAACTCCCTAGAAGTAACCTATTTTAGACCCTCTTAGTCCATACCAAGTGACTTCTCATCCTCACCCCTCTGCCAGCTCTGTGAAGTTGACTAATATAGATACACAAATAAACCTTAGCAACAGAAGGTTAGGGGTTGAGGAAGCTCAGCTTGGATGCAGTCACATTGGCTAATCTCAAGCTGTGTCTCAGCACAGGAGGCAGGTCAAAATAAATACTGTGTTTTGAATCCCTGAATGAAAAGTGTGAGAAAGTGATTCATTTTAAGAATGAATAATCTGGTTGAATGTCCTGAAGGTAAGTAGGATCTCACACAATTTCTAGGACCTTCATTGTTGTTTTGTCTATTCATGTGTTCTAAGAACACATGGAGAGGGAAAAAAAAAAGCCACTTAACAAAGTTTCCACTCACTCTGTTTATGTCAAGTGGAGTCTTTACAAAATTAATTTACTTGTTTCTTGTCCCACAGGCTGTTCCTCCCATGTTTTAATGCACCAGGGCTCTGAAAAGATGCTCCAGGAATGCATACAAGGGCTATTTTGGGGTGATGGATTTTCAGATGAGTTTTTTAAGTTTACTTTCTATTTGTCCTAGTTTGTCTCTTCATGTGACAAAATACTCTGACTACTACCAATTTGGAGAGGAAAGGGTTTATTTGTCTAACACCTCCCAGGTCACAGTTCATCAGGGAGTCCAAGGTAGGACCTCAGGGAAAGAACCTGGAGGCAGGAGCTGGAGCACAGGCCATGGAGGAGCAGGGCTAACTGACTTGTTTCCCTGGCCCCTGCTCAGTCTGTTTTCTTATGCAACACAGGCCCACTTGCCCAGGGGTGGCACCACTCACTTCTGGAGAGAGATCCTTTCCTAGGCAAATGCCTGAAGACCCCAGGAGGCAGATCCATCTCAAGGTTGGCTTCAGGGTGTGACCATATCTTCTTGAATCCTGAGGACAGAGTTTAGAGATCTTCTCATTACTGTGGAAAAGTGTATTGGTTACATTTCTGTTGCTGTAATAAAACACTGTGACCGCTGAATTTAAAGAAGGGAAAGTTTATTTGAGCTTAGATTCCAGAGGGATCAGATAGACTCCCTTATGGCCTGGAGGCATGGGAGCAGGAGGTGAAGGGAGTGCTCACATCCTCAAGAAGGCACAGGAAGCAGAGAGAAACTAGAAATCCCAGAAAGCTTATTCTTAAAGCCAGCCCCCAGTGACATGCTTCCTCCAGCAAGGTCACGCCTCCTAAAGTCTCCCAAAACAGCACCACCAACTGGAAACAAAATGTCCAAATATTTGGAGCCTATGGGGGACATTTTTATTTGAACCACAACAAAAAGTTAGGGGTAAATAAATTGGAAGAGAACACAAGCAGAAGAAAATGGCAACAGGCTAAGACCCAACACCGGTGGCCACAGTAAGTGTGGTGGTTTGTGCAGTGTCCCAACTCCGGGGAAACAGTGTGCTCTGTAGTATTCTAACAGGCGATTGCATTTAATAGCCTCTCTTTGCTTTTCAATTTGGATTTTTGGTAAGCCCCCTAGAATTTGTTTTGGAAACATGGCCAGAAATATAGAAGTGATTGAAGAGCAAAATTTATACTCAATAAGAGTACCGAGCATTCTGAACACCGAGGTGTTGTGGTCAAAGGTGGAAGCAAAACAAACCAAAATGTCAAACCAACCAACCAATCAAAACAAAAAACTCTACTAAACCTTGTGATAAACATGCCTATGGCCGAAAAAGGGTTTGAAATGAAAGTCAACCTTGCCCTGCCCTGCTGATAAGTAAGCAGAATTTGTCCTCTCACAATCAAATCAAACTCTAGTGGAAAGGTCCTAACTGCTGTGAGGAAGATTTGGGGCCCTCAGGAAGAAATATTGAAGGAAGGGTGCGGGGGGGGGGGCGGGGAAGCTGCGCTCTCAGTGGTGAGCCCGCCACCCTGTGTGCAGTGGCGCCTCCTGGAAAATCCACAGAGTGGTGCAGAGGCTTTAAGGTTACAGTCTCTCAAGAAAGGACTTTGACTTTTTCTCCACCTGGCTCTCTCCCTTTTGCCTTTCCCCTTCTCTTCACTGGACCCATTCTTCCAGCCCATCACTTTGTCATTCTTTTGCCCCAGTGTACCGCCCAGCAGGCACTTGAACTCCCTCCCTCCTCTTTTCCCTCGACTGGGATGGGTCCACTTTTCTCCACTTCTTCCAGGAAGCCCTTCGTTTTCTTTGCCACCCAACTCAGACCTCAGGGACCAAGTTAGGGTGTTAGGGTTGGGGGCGACTGGTGGATCCTGGAAGGGCGGTGTGGGAGTCTCGAGGGAGGACCATTCTCCCAGGGCGGCGGACCTGGGAGGAGACCACGGGCGGGTGCGGCCACCCGGAGGCGGTCCCAGACTCGGCCGCCGCGCCTCGTGCCTTTCCTCGCCCCCCAGTGGCTGCAGCCCAGGTACCCGAGAGCTGGACGGGAGGAGGATGTGCGGCTGGCGGCTGCTGGTGCTGTGGGCTCTGCTCACCGCGACGGCTGCAGGGAACTCAGGCCGCTCCTACCCGCACCGCACTGTCCTGGACCCCGAGGGCAAGTACTGGCTGCGCTGGGGCCAGCAGGGCGGACGGCTGGCCTTCCGCCTCGAGGTGCGCACCGCCGGCTACGTGGGCTTCGGCTTCTCGCCCACAGGGACCATGGCCGCGGCAGACATCGTGATGGGCGGCGTGGCCCATGGGCGGCCCTACCTCCAGGTAAGCTCCGGGATGGTTCTGGTCCACCCCAGGAGGGCGCGGGTGCGGGGATCCCGGGGGTCATCAGCAGCCCATCGAGGGGCAAGGCTGGGCACCCCCTCCTCCTTGCAGCACGGGTCTCCAGCTGGCTCCCCCTTGCTCTGGCTGCCCTCTCCTATACCCCAGTCTCATGTGTTGGTGCTGAGCTCTCTGCCTTTGGCAGGCTGCACCCAGGGGAAGCGTTCCATCTGTGCACCTTCTGTCTTAGAGTCTCACTTGACAGACCCCTTCATTTCTTAGGAAAAGAGGGGCCATAGCTTTTGTGTGGAGGGGTGAGGGTGCACTTAGTGATCATGCTGTATACGGTTGGGAATCCTAGGAAGTCCCCGTCATTGTGTTGGAACTCCCTGGAGTGGGCCTTTTTACTACATCATCCATGAAATGAATGAAGGGTCCTTTAGAGCCTTGTAAGGAAGTTTTATTACTGTGAGCTGTTGAGGAAGGCACCTTTAGAGACCTTCACAGTCTAATGTCTCCAGACAAAATCTCCTATTTAGGCACACAATTCTCCACTTATTTTAATAGGCAATCAAGTTAATGTGATTCACTTCCTGATGATTTGTTCTAGGGGAGCCGTGGTAGACACTACCTGATCTGATCATAGGTGTCTTTATGCACAGGTGACAGCTGTGAAAGGACCAGAATGATTAGATGGTTGTTTCTTAACCAAATAATTGGGTCATAGTGAATATATATTCTCTGTCAGGTACCAACATCCATCCAAGAATGAAAATGAAAACTCCACTTGTTCTGTAGGTCATAATCCTTAAGTAGAAATGTCCCACATGGAGTTATGTATAGCTCAGGCATTTCCCCCTTACTTCTAAGCTGGATTTCCATAGCTTTCTTAATGAGGTGCCTTCACATTTCAACTTTGGTTCTGACACTGACTTTGGCTAGGAATGAAATGACAGCAAAAAAAGTCAGTAGTTTAACTTAATAGTTAAATTAATAGTTTCGACTCTAAATAAGTACTCTACAACTCTGAAAAAAGCAAAGCTTTATTATGTTACAGGTGTCTGATAATGTATAAATTTTCTTTGGCTACACCATCTCAGAAATTAGTTAGCTAAGGATTGGATCCCAAGCCCAAGACTCATTAGCTAAATGACTTACTCTCCCATGATGAGGTAGATAATACATTATTTTAACATCTGTTTCAGTCAGGATTTTTAAAGCACTGTTTTTGTGGCATGAGGGGTGTCACACACCCCTTGATGATTCTGTAGAAGGGAACATGAGGCATCTTGCTGTGGTAACATTAGACAACAGAGAACACTTTCAAAATTAATTTGATATTACTTTAGCCGAAAGAGCAGCATCTCTAGAAAGCCCACACAATTCGATATCAAATGAAAGTGACAGAGCAGAATCTTGACCCAGCTTGCCAGAATGGTCCCCCCACAGATTTTTTAAAACTACTATATATTTTTATCTTGCCAGTGGTTATTCATAAAGATTTCATATGAATGTAAAGTGTTCTTTAGATTGATTTTGGAACTTGAAACTTTTCTTAAAGTAGAGGATACACACTACTGTAAGATAAATTAGAAACGGACACTTTCACAGTATATTTAACGAGCAAGAAATAGAACTTTTTTTTTCTTCCTGTTGCTCCAGAAATACAATCTTCATATTTATAAGCGTGGTCAGTTTCTCATTTGGCTGACAACTTTTACCACTCCATTTCCTTAGACTACTGTGTGCATGGCATATAAAATTATATTAGCCAGTTATGTTGAAAGTAAGCTTATTTAAAACCTCTTTAAAAGTTATAAGATAAATACTGTTTGAAAAAGAGAAATGTTTCATTTCCAACCAGTTCATCTAGAGTAGATGATTTCATTTTCCAATACTTGAAATCGAATCCTCTCCCTAGAAACTGTTTGAGATTTTTCATGTAGTGGTATGATAAGGGTGTGTTAAATAACTATATCAAAACCCAAATTGGGTTCTTCAATGCAGTGTATGTGATTTTATTAGTAGTGTTGTGATTTTACACAGCTTTACTCCCAGTGAGAACTGACTTTCCACAGAACAATGCCACAAAAAGCACTGGTTCCTGGACCTTCATTGTGAGTGTTGTGGCCACCAATAGTCAGACAGTGGCATCAGTCTGTGTGATGTAACCAAAGTTGACACTTCAATCTCTTCATCTTATGACTTTTTCCATATATTCTACCCTTTCTTATTTAATTTTAAACTTGAACATTTGACTTCTTAATATTTTGACTTTTATATTTTTAATTATCTTATAAACTCTTCTTTGCAAAAGATTGTTAACTTGTATATGACTAAGAGTAAATCCTAACCAGACAGCCAGGGAGCTAGTAGCTTCATAGATGCCACAAACGAAAACACCTAGAGGAAGGAGGAGGGCAGTCTAAGTGCAGCGAGGACTTGCATAGAACAGGCAGAATGCTGTGGAGTGGAGGCTGTTGGAGAGCCAGCATTTTTTAAAGTTACTGTTTCAGGGGAGTACAGATCTAATATTGCCAGGTAGTTTTTGGTCTGTTTTGCTTTAGAGAGAAGACAGATTCTCTCTCTCTCTCTCTCTCTCTCTCTCTCTCTCTCTCTCTCTCTCTGACTACAGAATACTGCCACCAACTGAAATCTGTATAAAGCACCCTGCACAAAGTGTGCACACATTTACAATTTCAGCTGGGTCTATCCCATAAACAACCTAATCTTGGACTAGGGCAGGATTAAACTGAATAAATTATCAACTTAAATTATACAAATCCGTAGGTGACAGAAGGGCAAGTCCCATTTCTCTCAAGATATTTTATTCCCTCTCAGGAAATGACTGCAGTACCTCAGAATCTTATCCATCATTTGGACTATTGGTTCTTATGCAACAGCCACCTAAAACATAGTAGTTTAACACAATCACCATTATTTTGCTCAAATATCTGTAATTTGAGCAGGACTTGGTGGGGGCAGCTCTGCTAGGCTTTACCTTGTGTCAACACTAGAGAGAGTGGGTGGGGTATCTGAAGGCTTACTCACCTTTATGTCTGTCTGGGATTAAGGTTGGCCATTGGCTGGGCCCTCAGCCAGTTCTGTGGTGGAACTGTGGCCTCTCCATGTGGCTGCTCAGCTTCCTCCCACCATACTAGCTGGTCTCAGAGTGAATATCCTCAGAGGCCCAGGCAGAAACTGAGTACAACCTTTTATAACTTTACCTTTGAGTCAGTCATTGGTTTGCTTTTGCCATTCACCACAGGCTCATGGGTTCAGGACAGAACATAGACTCTACCTTACCTTGAGAAAGGTGTATATTAGTGCAGCTGTCTTGAGAGGAAAATTCATTCTCTCAAACACATCCTCACTGGCTTGCCATGTTTTCCACCGCCACTTTTAAGTACCTATGTGTACATCTATCTATTCTATCTTTATATTACTGACATCAGGAAGCAATATTGATTCATTGGTCATTCCTTCCCATGATCTCTCTCCCTCTCTCTTTCTCTCTCTGTGTCTCTATCTCTGTCTCTCTCTCTCCTCTCTCTCTCTCTTTCTCTGTCCCCAAATCACCAGGAATTAGTGAACTGGTGGTAGGTTTCCCACTTCTCTATTTCATACTCCCTCAGTTCCTTCCCTGTGTGTCTATCCCAAGGACAAGAGTTATAAACTTTGGCAACTCCATCTTTTTTGAAGACTACCAATTGCTTATTCAGGTTAGACCCAAGAAGACTACCTGCAGAGGGTGGTGTGGCATTTGCTTTCTGATTTACAGAGGTTAAAAATAAAAATTTAAATTCTCAGGAGTCAAGGCAGCAGGCTTAACCACCTTTAAAACTATACCTGGGGCCCAGCACAGTGACACATATCTCAGGGAGGCTGAGGCAAGAGGATCCTAAGTTTGAGAGCAACCTGGACTACATAATAAGATGCTATTTCAAAATAAACACAAATATACCCCCATGCTTGGACACCTGTCACAGTTATGAATATTTGCTCTACTCATTTGTGACCTTTTGTTCCTCTAGAGAGATGTCATCATTTGTGTCTGACTGGCTATAGTCAAAATGGGGAGGAAGAAGGAGAGGTTGTGGCTGTGAATGAAGCTTGGCTTTGGGGAACCACAAGATAAATTGCTCTGTGGTAACCTACACTTATAGATGCCACCTTTCTGGGGGTGCTGTGCAGGCCACTTTCAACACTGTCTTTCACAGCCAGACCAGGGCTGGCTGGGAAACAGTCTATCCTTTGGCATCGGCATCTCAGAAGTCCACCATTTTGTTTCACTGAATCAGCTCAGCTCTCATTCCCCTGATGGATTCCTGTCCTTTCCTTGTTCTTTGCCCCTTTTTGACACAGAGCAACTCCACCCCCATCCGAACCATTTAGCAACTGTGAGTGCCAGTTGAGGAGAGTGCCAGTTGATGAATGCCCAGTTTGTGTGAGTGAGAGAAGAGAGCAGCATTGTGGGATGTGCTCCTTGAATTTGCACAAAAATGGATTCACCCTTCCTATGGGGGTAGATGTCGCATGAATGGAGCCCCGCACATATGTCATCATTTACTATAGCCTTACTTGTTGGCCTTCTCAAAAACTGAGGCCTTTCTGTGCTAAGCAGTGTCTTCAGCAGCTGGGTAATTGCTGCCGGGCCACTCACTGAGGAAGTACTTGGAAGTGATCTGAAATCACAGAAAACAGTGAGCATTCTTTGTGGTTAACGATGTGCTTCTTTTAAGCAGTCCCCAGCCAACTGCAACAAAGAAATGTTTGGAAAGCAAATTGAAAGCTAAGGGAAAAGCAAAGAAAGTGTGCAAGCCTGACACAACTCAGCTGGAGCGTTGTTAAGAGATATTTATAAGCCTTGGGATAATGCCCCCCCCCCCTAATTTCCAGATGAGGAAGGGACCTTTCCAAACTTCATACCTGGGGCATTAGTAACAGGGGCACATGCTTCAGTATTCAAATACATGATGATACTCCTCAGCTGTAAGTCGAAC